CACAGACAAGAGAAAAATTGCAATTAGAGTGCTAGCACAGATCAAAGGACTTGACAAGCAAAAATAAAAGTAGCATGTTCATGCTTTATTCATCAACAGAAATGAAAAACTATTCAAGTTAAAGTAGTCCAATGGACTTCCTCAAGAAAACAAAATTATCATAGTCAAGTGCTTTTGTAAAAGGATCAGCCAGTCGGAATTTTGTGTTCATATGAGCAAGTGTAATGATGTTCTCCTCAACTAACTCTCTAATGAAGTGATGTCTTATAATAATGTGCTTAGTCTTAGAATGCTAGATTGAATTCTTAGAGATGTTAATGGCACTTGTGCTATCACAAAAAATTGTCACACAATCTTGGTCAACACCATAATCATACAACATTTGATTTAACCATAAAATTTGAGTGTAACAACTCCCTACAACAATATACTCAGCCTCGACAATGGATAGGGAGATGACATGTTGCTTCTTGTTGTACCATGTGACAAGATTGTTTCCAAGATAGAAACATCCACTGAAGTGCTATTTCAATCATCCAAACTTCATGCCCAATCCACATCACTATATCCAACCAAGCAACTATTAGAATCAAATGAATGTCAAAGACCAAAATCACACGTACCTAAAACATATTTCATAATTCTTTTCACTGCATTTAGGTGCAACTCAAAAGAGTTAGCTTGAAACTTAGCACAAACACCAACACTAAACAAAGATCAGGCTGGCTTGCAGTCAAGTAAAGAAGGCTTCCTATCAGGCTTTGGTACATCTTAGTGTCTACTTTTTTACCATGTTCATCTCTGGACAGCTTAAGGGTAGCACTTATTGCACTCTCTAAACAAAATCGTTTTAACATGTTTTTAGCATACTTAGATTGGGAAACAAACATGCCATTTTCCAATTGTTTAATTTGAAGCCTAAGAAACATATTCAACTCCCCTACCATACTCATCTCAAACTCATTTTTCATCAAGCTAATGAATTCAAGTGCATGTGAGTGAAGTGTAGAACCAAACACAATATCATCAACGTAAATCTATGCATACAATATTTCATTGTTAACACACTTGATAAAAAGGATTTTGTCGGCATTATCTCGTTCATAGCTATGCTCAAGAAGCAAAGTTGTCAACCTTTCATACCAGGCCCATAGGGCTTGCTTCAACCCATAAAGGGCTTTCTTCAATCTATACACATGATTGGGTTTGTGGGGGTCTTGAAAACCAATTGGTTGTTCAACATACACTACTCCAGTGAGTATCCCATTCAAGAAGGCGCTTTTGATATCCATTTTGAATAGTTTGATCTTAAGGCAGCAGACAATAGCAATCAGCAGGCAAATTGACTCAAGTCGGGCAACAGGGCCGAAGGTTTCATCAAAGTTGATTCCCTCCATTTGAGTATAGGCTACTAGCCTAGCTTTCATCCTAACAACATTACTAAACTCATCAGTTTTATTCTTAAAAATCCATTTGGTACCTATTATGTTGATTCCTTCAGGCCTCGACACAAGTGTCCACACAGCATTTCTTTCAAATTGTTATAATTCTTCATGCATGGCTTCAATTCAATTCTCATCTTCCAATGTTTGCTTGGCATTCTTTGGTTCTACAAGAGACATATAAAAAAGATGGTTAATTTTATTTTGAACCATCACCTCATTTGGATCTTCAATCACAGTTGAAGGAGAATAAGCTTTTTGTATCCATGTTGGTAGATCTATTCTTCTTGGATTACTTCTTTGAGTAATCTCATCAGAGAGATCAAAAACCAGTTCAATCCTTTCATTTTGCAATGATGAATCACAGGATAAATCTTTACAAAGAGCATATCCAGTTGCTGCAGCACCAGAACCGTGTGGAAGCACGTTTGAAGAGGACCTAGGTTCATGAGATTCAATTGTGTTCACACCATTTTGTGTGGGCACATAAGAAGAAGACATGTCTTGAATTTCACATTCTTGAGAATATTCTAAAAAGTATTTTGCATCACTAAACACAACATTAATAGATTCTAAAACTTTTTCAAAATGCATGTTATAAATCCTGAATGGACGACTATTGGAAGAATATCCAATACAAACTCCTTCATCACTCTTAGAATAAAAATTACCTAAATTCTCTCTATCATTCAAAATGTAACATTTACATCCAAACACATGAAAATAAGAGAGATCAGGTTTCTTACATTTCCACAACTCATGGGGAGTTTGAAAGGTACCTTTTCTGAGATAAACTTTGTTAGAAATATGGCAAACCATGTTAATAGCTTCAGCCCAAAGTCTTGTAGGAATCTTTTTGGCATTAAGCATCACCCTAGCCATTTCTTGCAACACTCGGTTTATCCTCTCTACAACACCATTTTGTTGAGGTGTTTTTGGTGTTGAGAATTCATGGAATATGCCCTACAAATCACAAAAATTAGCAAAATCAGCATTTGCAAATTCCTTACCATGGTCACTCCTAATTCTCACAATCTTTATAGCCTTGGAACTCTTCTCAACAAGGAACCTTTTACTAATTTTTGAAATGCATTGAAAGAATCAGATTTCTCACGTAAGAAGTCAACCCAAGCAAACCTTGGAAAATCATCAACACAAACAAACACATACCTCTTAACTCCCAAACTCTCGGTGTGCGTAGGACCCATTAGATCCATATGGAGCAATTCCAAAACACATGAGGTATTGAGATTAGACAAAACTTTATGAGATATCCTGGTTTGTTTACCTTGTTGACATGAACCACAAACATTAGCTTTTGGAGGTTCAAGTTTTGGTAGCCTTTTAACCACTTCACTTTTTGAAAGTCTTACCCAATCCAGTTCATGTGACCAAGTTTCTCATGCCACAAGTTTGTGGAATCTGTTTTTGATTTGAAACATGACACACGGTTAGAAAGCAAGTAACAATTGTCATTGGACTTTTTTCCCTCAAGTAAAGAGACACCTTTACCATTCAAAATTTGACATTTGTCCTTTGAGAATTGAACCACAATTTTTTTTTCACAAATCTAACTAATACTAATCAGATTAGCTTTCAAGCCATCAACAAGTAAGACATCTTTCAAAACAAGAAAATTAGGTAGCACAATTGACCCTTTGCCAAGAATTTTACCTTTCTTTCCATCTCTATAAGTGACATGCCCACTATCAACCGATTCAAGTTCAGTCAAGAGAGATTTATTACATGTCATATGCCTTGAACAACAACTATCTAGATACCAAACATCATTTTGAAATGCAAGCAAAGAGGTATGAGACACAAAACAGTTCACATCAGCCTTAGGTTTCCAAGTTCTTTTGGAAGAAAAACCATTGTTAGCATTATGATTCACATTAGAAAACAAACTATGATTTTCAAGAACTTTCTTCAAATAACCAATAACCTGAAGCATTTGGGTCTGATGTAACCTTTCGTGTTACAAAAATTGCAAATCGGAATGAATTTTGTTACATTCATAGCTTGTCTCGCAACAGCACCTTCAACAGGAGTTTCGGTGGCCTTAACAAACATGCTTGCACTAGCTTTTGATGTGCTAGCACCAGGATTGAAACCCAAGCCGTACCGATCTCCGAAAGATTTTCCTTGACCAAGGATTTCATCAAGCTTGAGAGAACCTGCATTCAATTTATCAATGATGACCTTAGCCTCAGTTAGTTCAATAGTAAGAACAACAATCTTTTTGGACAAGACTTTCTTTTGCTTCAACAAGGTAGCATTCTCAATACCAAGAGATTGCAACTTTTTCATAGCCTTTAGCCTTTAGCCATTGATCAAACATTTTATCATAAGCTTCTTACTGCTCAGCATATATGTCAACAGTGTCATCTAAACATTCACTCTTACCATCTTCTTGGTTCACGGTGAAGGCAAGAACATTTTTATAATCACCTGAATTATCATCATCACTCTTAACACTAATTTATAAACATTAAAATTAAAATAAAATATCATTCCCAATAAATGCTTAATTTTATTAAATTAGTATAATTTTCAAAGTTATTATTATTTAATAAAAATATCATTCCCAATATTTAATTAATATATACAAACATAATTAGTGAAACAAATTAATTGTTGATTATTAACAGAAAGAAAAAGAAAGAAAATATTCTAAAAAAATATTGTTTTTGATATAATATTTGATGCAATGGGTTGGAGATGCAATATAGTGAAATACACCAAAAACCACATTAATTTGATGTGAAAGTTGTATCAATTTAGTGTTTGTGGTTGGAGATGGTCAGAATATTAATTTTGGGTGAGAAAGTGATATTTTGAAACTTTTTGGGCAGAAAAAGTAATTAAGGCACACTTTGGGTGGGAAAATGTCGTTTACTCTTGATAAAATTCATGGATCTGTCATGAAGTACAAACAACTGAAACAAGCCCTGATGAAACATGAGACCAAGGAAGTTTTGCCCAATTATTTCCAATAATAAAGCACTCATCCAATGCATACTATTTGTCTTCTGTTGACTAGCTGAAATGGTAAAATAAAATGCATTTGAGTAATTGAAAATAATCTATCCACCAGCAAAGCAATCCTTCTCTCATAAGTTACAATGAATTTCACACACATCAAGGCCATGACAAGACCCCACAAATCTCCATCTTGTGGTTGTGGGTTCAAGAATTAACCTTCAGCCAATCAAATTGACCCACACAAGAGTCCATATTTCTCTATGGTGGTCTTGCATCTACAGTATAAAGTTCAAGCAGACCTTTTTGGTTCTGTTTATTAGCAAGCGCAACGCTATAGTTTGGAGTTTTGTCATAGCAAAACCGATTCATATTCTATTTTGACCCAAACAAAGACCTTTCTCTCTTTCAGTACCCAGTGATCTTGCCACGTTGCCACATGTCCCACCTGTTATGTGTTTCATTTGATTCGGACTTTCGGAGACGTGGACCTGAAGAGCCACACAGAGAAAGTGTGCTTCCGTACAGAAACTACACTTTTCAGACAGTCTCCCTTCCCTTGTAAGTTTCTAGCATGTAAAGCAAGTTCAGTGTTTTCTTTAGTCTTCTACTGTCCTTTGCAATTTGAGAGCAAGAGCAAAAGACTGGTCAAGTCCTTTTAAAAGCAAATACATAATTAAAATATTCATTTTCATTTTCACTTTCACTGTCTTCTGCTTTCTTTTTGAAACTTTGAAGTTCTCTCTGTATATAATATGCTGAGATTACTCAACTGGGTTCTCTTAGTTTCATCTCTATCTCATTAAAGTTTTCAAATTTCCACTGTCCCTTTCCGTTTTGAAGGTTTTCAGTAGGGGTATGTTCTTGTAATCCCTTTTTGGGTTCTCTGTATCACTTAGATTATGCTTAATTTTATTATGTTGTGTTATTTTAATCTGCATCTATTCAATCTTGTTTGTATTTCTGTTCTCTCATTGGGTTTATCTAGTAATAATGGAGAGCTTGTTTTATTTTTTACTGGTTCTACTTGGAAGGCTGTTACTTATTGCAATCATTGAGCAATTTGTAATTTATATTCAGTTTATGGTATTGTTATCTCTGGTATTCTTTTAGAAATTCTTGTTTATGGCAAAATGGTTGAATAAAGTTCCTGGTTTTGTATCATCATGCCACAATTTGAAAGTTTTCCTTTTATTGATTTCCATTTTAATGTGGTTACCCTTGGAAAATTGTGGTTGAAATAGAGAACATAACCTTCCCAATATGAATGTAGTTGGAAGTACATTTCTAAATTTTGTTTTTGGTTTTCATTTTATATTAATCTTCCAGGAGTATAAATGTGTTATTCTTCATTATTAGAGGAATAAATGAACTTCATTCTTCTAGGTTCACGAAAATCTTTTTAGCAGATTTTATTTTGTTTGGCTTTGACATTTATTTACTGATGTATCATAGGCTGCAATGTGGATTTTATATTTTTGTGATGTTAACGTTTTCCTATCAGTCCTGGGAATATGGCACCATCACTTTTGATCATTAATTTGGTGATTAGATGTGGATATTTGAAGCCTAATGTCATATATGAATTATGTTGCTGAGTACTGTGTATTAAATGTAAGTTGTATTTACTTGTGTTTTTTTGGGAATTTCAGGGATTTGTTTTATTCATATCAGCTTAATCATGAGCAAAGAAATTAGAGATAGTTGGGATGATGAATGCTCTGTTATAGGAGATAAAGGAGAGATTGGGTTTATTGATTTTGAGGATGATCAGTCTGTCTTAAGTTATGACCCAAACGGAGAGGGTCCAGTTATTATATCCATTCCATTTCCATTTCTTCAAGGGAAACCTCAATCTGTTTTTGTAGGAGAAACTTCAAAGTGTTCAATAACTATAAAGAACTCTACTAGTGACCCAATGGACATTTGGGGAATTAAAATATTCTGCTCAAATCCTGCGGACTCTTTTACATTATCTCTTATGGAACCCAACTCAAAATCAGAAAATATTCAAGGCTTCTTGGAAGGATTTTCTATCGAGGACAGAGTGCTTCAACCTCTCCAGACTTTAACGATTTGGTTATCTTGCAAACCTAAGGACATGGGTTTGCACACAACTGTGGTGCACTTTGATATAGGAGATGATAGAATTGAACGTGTGGTATTTCTATTGGCAGAAGACAAAGTCTCTCAGTCTCTAGCTTCTAACAAGCCATATAGAAGACAGCCTAGAAAAAAGAATTTTGCTGTTGATGAATATGTTGTCTCCTCACGTCCAGCTAGGACAACAAATCAAGGTTTCAAGTCTAGGCTCCGAGAATATCCAATCCCAAAGGATGTTCGAGAGTTGCTGATGAATAAGCAACTCCCTGAAGTTGTAGCTCAAGGTTTAGCGAGGAATAACTATGCTGCTTTCTTCAGTACATTGCTTATCATGGAAGAGCTACGTTTGGAGGTAATTATTAATACTTGATCAGTTTGTATGTCAGACAGATCTTCTATCGGTTGGCTGTAAAATTGGTTACTTTGTTTCAGGAAGATATGCGGTCCTATAATTTGGAATGTGTCAGAATGAGGAGAAAAGGGGCTCAATCCCTGGCTCTTGAAGTCCCTGGGTTGGCTGAGAAGAGGCCTTCACTTGTACATGGAGATCATGTTTTTGTGAAGCTTTCTGCTGGCAGCTCAGGTGATAATAATGTGTATAAGGTTTGTTCCTTCTTTTGGATGAATTATCTTTTCTCTCAGATGAGTTGGTTCATCTTACCATGTATTAAACATCAGGGTATTTTGATGCTGATATATTTTGGTATCCATTGGATGATGCTAGTGAAATTTTTTGATAATATAAAACAAAGTAATGATTTGTGTACTGCCAAAGCTATAGCTTAAGTGCATGGAAAATGACATGAAATAGCATATTTGTTGAGGATATTTGTAGTTGAGTGCAGTGTGGCACATGTGATGCGTGTGCGCACTACATACAGTGTTGCACTTAATTTTGTTTCTTATTATATTTCTTAATTATGATTATATCAATAGAAGTAGCTTTAACTCGATAGAGAGCTGTTATTACCTTAAAAAGGCTGCATTTTAAAGTCATGAGCAGTTCTTAAAGAGTGGGTTTTAGGAGGCAGCACCCTTTCAGATCACGGTACTGCCTATTTATGAGTTCATTTCATTGTTCCCCTGATGAATAACTGATTAAAATTTCTTTTATACAATTAATATGAAATATATCACCGTACGATAACCTTGATTGGTTTATTCTTGGGAATGCGTAGACTACCTCTCACTTTGTTTTGAATATTTTAATCTCTCTTCCAAATTTTTTAACTTGTGTCTTTCAGGGTCACATCTACCATGTTGAGGCCGATGAAGTGCTTCTGAATTTTGCGAAAGAATTCCATGCTAGTCACAAAAATGAGAATTTATATGATGTCAGATTCTCATATAATAGGGTAGGCATGAGGAGGTTGTATCAAGCTGTTGAAGCTGCAGAAAATTTAGAATCTGTTCTTCTATTTCCATCACAATCAACCAAAAGGAGATTGGTTAAAACAAATCCTTTTATGCCATTTACAATTCTAAATGAGGAGCAGATGTGTTCCGTTGAAATAATCCTTGGTTGCAAAGGTGCTCCTCCGTATGTGATTTATGGGCCTCCTGGTACGGGTAAAACTATGACTTTAGTGGAAGCAATCTTGCAAGTTTATGCCACAAGAAAGAATGGTCGGATTCTTATTTGTGCTGCTTCAAACAGTGCTGCAGATCACATATTAGAGAGACTCGTTGGTAATCAGGTGGTTAAAGTGAAAGAGACTGAGATATTTCGGCTTAATGCTACTAGCCGTGCTTATGGGGATGTTTCCCCCGACTATATTCGCTTTTGCTATTTTCAGGATTCCATTTTCAAATGTCCTCCACTTCAGGCCTTGAGCCGTTATAGGATCATCATATCTACCTATATGAGTTCAGCTCTACTTAATGCAGAAGGTATTAAGCGTGGCCATTTTTCTCATATCTTCTTAGATGAGGCTGGCCAAGCTTCAGAGCCAGAAAGCATGATTCCCATAGCCAACCTTTGTCGTAGAGAAACTGTAGTTGTTCTTGCAGGAGATCCAAAGCAACTGGGTCCTGTTATATTTTCAAAAGATGCCGAGGTTTTTGGATTAGGAAAATCTTATCTTCAAAGGCTATTTGAGTGTGAATTTTACCATAATGAAGATGAAGGTTATGTAACAAAGTTGGTGAGAAATTATCGGTGTCATCCGGCAATTCTAGACCTCCCTTCAAAGCTTTTCTACAAAGGAGACTTACTTGCATGTAAAGAAGATACCTCTTCCTCCATTAGTGCTGAGGTGGATTTCCTTCCTAACAAAGAATTTCCTATTCTGTTCTTTGGCATTCAAGGCTGTGATGAAAGAGAAGGCAATAATCCGTCATGGTTTAACAGATTTGAGGCAAGCAAGGTTGTTGATATCATCAATAAGCTGAGAGAAAGTACTGATCTCAATGAGGCAGATATTGGGGTTATAACACCTTATCGCCAGCAGGTCCTCAAGATCAGAAAAGTACTTGAAGCTTGGGACATGCCTGATGTTAAGGTTGGGAGTGTTGAGCAATTTCAGGGACAAGAGAAAGAGGTTATTATTGTATCGACTGTCAGGTCAACAGTCAAACACAACCAGTTTGACAGAACTTACTGCCTAGGATTTCTTAGCAATCCAAAGAGATTCAATGTTGCAATTACCCGTGCCAAATCATTGCTTATTATTGTTGGGAACCCACACATAGTCTGTCAGGTATTTTCTTATACTTTGCCACTGATATCATGAATCTAAATTTTTTATACGCTTGCATGCTAGCTTTCATAGTTCCTAACCAATGTATTCTCCATTACTGAATTGTGTGCTGAGCCGTCTTTTGTCTAACCTTTGATATCATCATAAAAGGATGTCAGAAAGAAGTTAAAACATCTTATTAGAATCAAATCTGTAGCAAATGTATAACACTAATACATAGTGCTCAATATCTCGTGGAATATGCGTTTATCTTTTCTGGCTTTAGGCAACAAATGACTTATTAAGACGTTTTAGCATATTAATGATTTGAGTTTGTGTATTGCAGGATCGTTACTGGGACAAGCTTTTATGGTATTGTTGTGACAATAACTCATACCAAGGCTGTCCTCTCCCCGAAAGACCAGACCATGCAGATGAAATGCTGAATCCAGAAATGAACTCAAGTAATGAATTTGAGAGTCCACACTCAAAAGTAGGGGCATGGGGCCAACCATTTCAAGGAGAAGACATTCCAGAAATTCCACAACCTGTTACTGATGAAGCTGAGTGGTCGGACGGCTGGAAGTAAAATTTCCCAACTTGTTACTACATGGATTTTCCTTTTTTTTCTTTTTTTCTTTTTTTCTTTTTTTTGTCATGTCTGGATGATTGCGTCTTTAGAGTTTTGATTTACATATAACTACATGGAAACTTGATGGTGAATACAAAATGTATTAATGGTAGATTACGTCTAATTGTTGCCATTTTGTAGAATAATAGTGCAAAAAGGTTTGTTATATTTCATAATCATGATGAAAATCTTGTGCAAACAACATAGGTTAGTTGTGAATAGATTTCCCACATCGGGAGAATAGAGGAGGAGGAAAGTGAGGTGCAAATATAAAACGAAAGATACAAGCAACATAAAACATACTTACCTGGACGGGGTCGATGGGTGATCATGAAGGCCCATGGCCTAGGTTGGTGGCCTCCATTGCACTTGGGAGGTGCACCCACCTAAGGTCTGCTCAAGTGGCAGAGCCTACGTCATAATTTGTGGCAGCGGGGGCCTGCGTTCGCGCGGCCCCTACCTATTCGTAGTTAAGCTTATTTATCTTAAAAACGTGGGATTGATCGAATTGTGGCCCGCTCTGAATGGCTCACGCGGGACAATGTTTTTCTTAGAATATTGCCTATTGGGTTACGTGGGCTTCTCCTTTTTACTTAGCCTGTTAGATTACATGGGCTTCTCCTTTTTACTTAGCCTGTTAGATTACATGGGCTTTCTCCTTTTAGTTGGCTATGGAAGTGTGTACAAGCAAATTTCACCCATTATAATACAGCGAGCTCGATTAGCTTAAAACTCAGTTTGGCTATGAAAGCATGCACGGGCTTGATTAGTTGGCTATGGAAGTATGCGGGCTTGATTAGTTGGCTATGGAAGTATACACGAGCTCATTCTTGTAACAATCGAGCTCGGCTCGCCTAAAACTCAACTCGATTACAGTCCTATCAGATACCTTGATCAGTCACTTATTGGTTAAATTTAAATTGAAATGTTGGAGGCTTTGGGCTCCATATAAGCCTTCGCCGAGTGATGACTTGAAATACTAGAGCTATCACTTCCATTTGTGTTATTTCGATATTTTTCCTTTGATTTTTGTTCCATTCTAACGGAGCATTTTATTGGATTCAATTCACTAAACTGTTAGTAGTGTTCGGATCACAAACATAGAAACATATAATCATGGGCTCATGGGCAAATCCTGCGATATTGTATTTTGAATTACTTACTAGAAACACATTTCTACCTAGTTCTAAGTTGTTTTTTTCTTTTTTTTTGGGTTGTATTTGTAGGAGTACAATAAAAAGCTGCTTAGGAAATACTTCTCAAAGACAAGAAAGAGGTACTGACAAAACACAGAAATTAGTAGCCAAGTCAACTTGCAAACATACCTGCCTGGATGGGGTGAATTACTGATCAGAAGACTCATGGCCAAGAGTGGTGGCCTCCATTGCACATGGCAAGTGGCTGCGTCGTAATTTGTGGCGGTGGGGGCCTGCGTTAGGGCAGCCCCTGTCCAATCTATGTCAAATATTTGCTCTGTTTTTTGACAAAATCTTATTTCTATGATCCTCCTAACTCTAGGCTACACATGCCTCCTGATATCACTAGTCATTTATCTCCAGATTGTCTCTGCATTTAAGGCCTTAAGTGGTGATTGGGGTTTATTTCCTTCTCAACGACAGAGCTTATTTGCCAATCGTCTCACTAAAGCTGATTTTGACCGAGATAAATATGACTGCCCATATTAATCTATAAGATTAAAATATTTCTTAACTTATGAATAAATAACAACCTAATTTCAATCAATTAAAACTACACTTCGGTTATCTCATACTGTGCTGTAACATTAAACAACAAGTACTCGTTGATCCTTTTGATAGGATCAAACTGAACAGTGAATGCAAGAAAATGCTAAACTAAAAAGTTAAAAAAAAAAAAAAAAAAAACAGTTATTTAATTCATGATTACTATCTCGACTTGACGTATTCCTACCTAAGTACCTTTCTCTTAAAACCACCCACCTCAACAACTAAATCATCACTGGAGATTGATTTATCAACCATCACTCTCCGTCCTTTCAAGTTAACAGACGTTGATGGTTTCATGTCATGGGCAGGTGATGATCAAGTAACAAGATCCATCACACGGAACACTTTCACTTCCAAGGAATAAGCTTTCACCTACATAAAGGAAGTATGCATCCCCCACCCTTGGTGTAGATCAGTATGCATTGATAACCATTCGATCGGACATGTTTCCGTCTCTCCAGGATCCGGCGACGAGAGGTGTAGAGCTGAGATAGGGTATGCTATAGCTGCCAAGTACTGGGGGCAGGGAATTGCCACCAGGGTAGTGAAAATTGCAGTTGGTGAAGCTTTCAGGGACTTCCCAGAGGTTCAAAGATTGCAAGCTTATGTTGTTGTGGAAAATAGGCTTCAATAAGAGTGCTAGAGAAGCTGGGTTCCTAAAGAAATATAGATATTTTAAGGGGAAAATAGTAGATTTATATAGCTATAGTTTTCTAACTTCAGATTCTCATGTCCTTAATCAGAATTATATGTTTTTGTTATGTCCAATAAATTAGGGCTAACGCAAGCTTACGTCAGCAAGGACCAATCAGAGTTCAGGAAAGCTTTGTGCCGCTCAGGCATTGCCATGTCGTCCAAGGGCGAAAGGAGTAAGGCTGTCATCAATTTGACAGATAAATATTTGGCTAGTGAGTGGCTGGAGTCGCCCACCTACCCAAGCCTTGCGCAATTTAAGGGTATCTCTTGTACAATTAGCCAATGGGAAGCAGAATAGGAATTGTACGACACTTGCCCGCTTGCAGACTTGTAATAATTACCTAGAAACCTCTTACTATAAATAGAGAGCTCCCCTCTCATTTTCGGGATTCTGATAACAAAAAACACTTACTCTCTCTCTCTGTATTTCTATTCTCTGATTGCTACACGCGACTTGATTGTAATCTCTTATTTATAAAAAAATAGTAGACGTAGGATTTGCATAGAGCATCCGAACCACTTTAAAAATCGTCTCCCATCATTTTCTATTCACGTGTAATTTCCAAGTCAGCTTAGCACTTTGCACGTGTGAATAGTTGGTGTCAAAAATCAAGCATCAACAGTTTGGCGCTAGAAGGAGGGCTTGATTTAGTATCTGCTCTTCATCAGGAATTTTCGATCAATTGATTTTGTTCGCCAGCAAATGGCTCGTGGTTTTGAAACAAAGCGAGCTAGCCTTAACAACGAGGAAGTCCCCCGAGTACAGGATGACACTTCTCCCGAAGTGCCCCCGATTCAATAAAGTACCGCGACAGATATTCCTTCGAGCTCATAGCTCGATCCAACTGTGATGGATTACCTAGAAAGGTTCAATAATACTCTCCAAACTGTTAACTGAAGCTTAAACCGTTTGGATCAGGTCGTACCAGCCGAGTCCGACAAGGCGGTGCCATCGATGAAGACGCCTATAGGTCACACTAATGCCCAGAAACAGGCGAAGGCATATGTCAAGCGCACTACAATGCGTAAAGACAAAGGAAAACAGGTGACAGGTGATGGGCCAAAGGGCTCTAAGGGACCAACGAATACCGATTGTGAAGTAGGTAGAATACCTGTGGCTTTGCAACTTGGCAATATGTCGCATCATGAACCGTCCCGTGCATATCGCATAGGCACCCCCACAAGAGTGCAAGGCAGAAAGATTCCCACTATCGCCGGAAGGATAGCCTTGACTATCATCGTGAGGGAAACCCCCACCATTCGCGGGTTGGTTCTAATCATCGTGGAGGTTGAGATAACTCCTCGAACCATTCATTACCTTCACATGGCTCCAGTCAGTGCGTGTCAAGGTATGCCTAAGCTTTCAGCTGAGCTGAGGAAGAGTCTGATCTGCGGTATTTCCTCAATCGCAATTATGAGGGTCGAACCCACGTTGTGGAGAGTGATCCTTAGGTAGCTCTGCTGCCTCAGATGGAGGAGTTATAGCGAGCTCTGAATTAGCTTAGAGCTCAGCAAAATGAGTGTGGGCAGGTCACTGAGGTGTCTCCCTTTTCTCCAGTAGTGTTAGTTGCTCCTCTCCCATCAAGGTTTAGAATGCTCGATATGCGAGCATTTGAAGGGAATTATGATCCGCAGGATCACCTCTATGAGTTTAACGACCTCATGGAACTTTACAAGTTTCCAACTTGGCCAAATGTCATTGTCTGGTGGTGACTCTGACTGCCCACGTCAAGCGCTGGTTTAGATCGCTTCCGCCAGGATCTATTAACTCGTGGTAGCAGATGAGTTAGTTATTCTTGAGACACTTCCAGGCAAATAGGAAGTTCTTAATGTCGTTGAGCTATTTGAGCAACATACGATAAGAGAAGAATAAATCCTTCTAGTCTTACATTGACAAGTTCCACAGGGAGCTACATAAGATGGCTAACACACCTAAAGAATCTGTTCGGACTCTCATTATTGCGGGAGTTCACCCACAGACTAACCTGTGGAAAAAGCTGCAATATGAGGATGGCATTTCCCTCACCCGCTTCTATGACCTTACAGAGAAGTACCTCCAAATAGAGAATTATGTGGCTACTCTTAATCGTTATGACTCTGGTCCTTCGACTAGTGCTCTTGATTGAGGGGAGGGTAGTAGAAGAGCTAATCGTAGATGGGCTAATGACGATCAGCGGAAGGGAAAGAAGCAACAGTTTTAGCCCAAGAAATATTATGCCCTGGTTCTTCGTCGTGGTCATGGCAAGAATCAGTATACTCCTCTGAACGCATTAGTATCGACTATTCTGGATAAGTTAGAAAAGGCCAGCTTGCTCGGAGAGCTGGCGCCCATGAACAATCTTCTTTGGGCAAGAAATAACAAGAAATATTGCCATTATCATCAAGATAATAGGCACTACACCAATGAGTGTCGGACTCTCAAGCAAGCAATTAAAGACCTCATCAAGTAGGGGCAACTCAAGGAGTATGTTGATGGTCCGACTCCTGTTTGGGAGAATGATCATGAAGACTAGGGGAAGAAACGTCATGGTTGTAAGGGTTTCTACTTCGTGGGGATCATCTTTGGAGGACCGCACTTCATGGGGCATTCTCGAGGTGCTTAGGAAAGGTACGCTCATAAAGCTCACCATGACCCCGTGAGTGTGGTGAGCACGACATCGTGACCTGCTAA